GAAGAATTTCAAATTTAGTTAGTTCATTACATCGTTAAATACTAAATATTATTTAACAGAGTACACTCCTAGTTAGAAAAATGAATCATCCAGAGAAACGTAAAAAGAATGGTGGTAAGGATGTATGTTGTGATAATAAAATGTGCTATGACTGAGTTTTATAATGTAAAATCGTAGACAAAATATGTTTTATAATGATTATTTCTCTGCACCTCTTAGAGTTCTTATCAGGTGTTTTCAACATAGGCAGATATACGCATTTTGGGGTTAGATATCACTGTATTCCATCACTGTTAAAGTTAATGTGCATGACTTATCGAGAATGGTTTCAGCCACTTTATAAAGCCCGGACGAAGAATACATATATGAGCCGCGTCATGACAAAACCATCATAATGGGTTTGCGACCAGCATCGATCCAGACCAGCCTGCACTTCCGCGCATTCTGATCAGGATCCATGCTGTTCGTTATCAGTTTCTCTACATGTTATAGGGTTTGTAACCGAACAGCATGGATCCTGATCAGACTGCGCGGATGCGCAGGCTGGTCTGGATCCATGCTGGTCGCAACCGAACTAAGTTGGTTTTGTCATGACGCGGCTCATATGACTTTTCCCTTCCCGTGTATTGTAAGTTGTTTTTGTCCTTTGACGTTGAGAGTCATAAAACAACTGTTTGAAAGCGTCTAAGTTGTTTTACCGTGTAAATATTCACAATTATAAGTAACTCTTATGCGGACTATAATGTATTGAGGAAAAACCGGAAGTGCATGTAAAATGGTCTTAAATATCCCGTTAACGATACAGGAAAACCACAAAACACTGTATCTTAACTAGTTGTTTGCTCCAAAATACATAAATAGAAAGTCATAAAGTAAGTTTTGATTTATTTTATATCAATGCACAAACACATAAATTAAATAACTATAGATAATTAACAAATTATTTCTTAATAAATTACAGTAAAAAATGTATCTATAATTGGTAAAATGTTTGTTTGCATTTTTGATAAAAAATATAGTGCAAAAATATCTCAATTGACAATGTATTGTAAGTACTTGCGCAAAATCACCCCTAAACCTACTAAGATAATATAACATGACAGGAACAAATATTTGCTTGTATCATGTTCATGACAAGAAGTAGTATCACTACATGCTTTGCGAGGCATTAGATGTAGACCGACCGATACTGTCAAATTTTGATTTTTCACCCTTAACTTGTGTAATGGACTTGCCCTGATTTGAATTTGGAAGAGTCCATTTGTTGTACAAGGGATTTCAATAGGAAAACAAAAAAAAATGAAACTTCCAACAATGTAGAGCCTAGCTGGACTGTAGACTGATCTGGCTGTATACTGCTGGTAAATGCTAAGGCCGCTATTCCATTTATACGTGATCAGTGGTCCGCGTCAGTGACCCGTGTCCGGGCATGTCCGTGGGTATTATTCCATAGGTACGTTATTTTCTATATACTTTTAATTGAAGTATAGCGAACAGAGGATAATTATTTGTAGAATATGATATAATTTCATTCTAATACCAAAAACAGTTGTAACATCAAAGAATTAGGTAACAAACATTGAATACCAGTTAGGTTTTCAAATAACATCCCTTTAGCAAACCGATGACCAGATGTTGTTTTTTTTAATCTGGCATTGCTGCATCATAAACTTATACGTTCTCCTACACTATTTTGGTGACTTCTTTAGTATTTTCTTTCGAAATCGATAAAGTATTTAATTTCGTTCGAGGCATTTTGTAGGGATGAGACATGTCAGTGACTGTCCGCGTCCGTAAAAAATCGCTCAGCCTGCGAAACGTCGCGGATGCCGTCGCGGAAGCGGATGGTAAACGGACAAAAGGAATAGATTCAACGTATTCTTTGATTAGCGAATCGGTAACGGATGCGGATGACGGACGCGGACCACTGATCACGTATAAATGGAATAGCGGCCTAATCCTATATGATTCAGCGAGTTAAAGGGAATTGGTCTTTAACGGACGGTCTAAAATACAATCAATATTTGAGCAGCGCCATGACAAAACCAACATAATGGGTTTGCGACAAGCATGGATCCAGATCAGCCTGCGCATCCGCGCAGTGTGATCAGGATCCATCCTGTTCGCTTACCAACCTAGAAACTGATAGCGAACAACATGAATTCTGATCAGACTGCGCGGATGCGCAGGCTGGTCTGGATCCATGCTGGTCGCAAACGCACTATGTTGGTTTTGTCGTGACGCGGCTCATATTTATTTTGATAGTATTGAGTATCAGACATAACAACAAATCACAAACACAAATAAATTATGTTAAGTTGTTGTTGGCAAGTGTGAGATGGATGGTCCGATACTACAAAAATATAATTTATTGCAGATAATAAAATGTTCGAATAGGAACAAAGTATTATTTTTCATCATATAAATTGTCTATACTAAATAACTTAAAAAATCAATTTTTAGAACAATTTTATAAAAATACGAAAATGATATGAGCCGTGTCACGACAAAACCAACATAATGGGTTTGCGACCAGCATGGATCCAGACCAGCCTACGCATCCGCGCAGTCTGATCAGGATCCATGCTGTTCGCTATCAGTTTCTTTACTTGTTATAGGGTCTGTCAGCGAACAGCATGGATCCTGATCAGACTGCGCGGATGCGCAGGCTGGTCTGGATCCATGCTGGTCGCAAACCCATTATGTTGGTTTTGTCGTGACGCGGCTCATTTATTTCTATTTTTTTTTCTTAATCAATGTTTGAAATACTTATGGCAAAAATGTGCACATTGTAGACCAATACACTATAAGGGTTAAATATTTTTTTTTAAGGTGAGAAATCAATGAACACCGCTTTGTTAAATTACTAGAGATGGAATGCACTCAACGAAGAAACTTAAGAGCTGTAATATGTCTTTTTCACATACGCGAGCTGCCTTTGCGACTCTGTAAAAATGGTACTGCACGGCCGTGCATATATTTTGACGTGACGTCATTTGCGTGATACAAACCTATTAGTGTAAAGACGTGCTTTATTTAAGCGTTGCACTATGATCGCGACAATGGGGAAAAAAAGAAAGAAAACAAAGATTCAGTTTCAGTCTTTATTTTGGATTTGTGATAAATAGAATATTATATTCGTGTAGGTTCATTACTGAATTTATTTAACTCGTTTAATTATTCAGTATTGAACTAAGTGTGTCCGTGGGTCTTGCTTTTACGACTTTGAAATATACACTAAAAAAATGTCAGTGTCATAGGAGGTCACGTTAAACAAATAATGCAATATGGTCAAAAGGAACTTTCTGTCCTTATAGTACGATATACTCCATACCAGAACGTGTACTTTTATCAATCCAATGTAACCACTCATTGTATTAAACTCAGGCACTCTCAGTGGCGCGTCGACTACATTGTATTTCGTATTTAGTGGTTCTGAATTTTACAGCGCAAGGGGAAAAACCGATACAGGATAAAAACTTAAATTTACTGCAAAGTTATCTTCCCTTATGTTAAATACAAAAGATTGTCACACATTTTCTTTTTTATTTCACTTTAAAGGGTATAAAGATATATCTCAAGAAATATTTACGGTAAAAGTTGTTTCTATAATCATATAAGAATTGTAAAAAAATAAAATGTTTTGGTTATTTGCACACATGAATATTGTAAACAGGAACAAACTATTATGCTGCTATTTTAAGTAGGGATTTAACAGTTTAGCAATGATTACGTGCATACGCCACTCGTTCAAAAGGAAATATACAAACATATGTCTTTTACAGGCATTTCGAAATTATATATATATTTTGGTGACTTAGAGGTAGCCGAGATACATTTTATACAATTTAAAATGCACATGAAAAGCAAAAATGTTGACTGCCTATGTAACAAATATTATTTGTTTTGTTCAGTTTTAAGTTACAAGACTCAGTGTAACGGTTAAATGACGGGTTTCGAGTATACATTTTCGGGCATTGTTGTTAAAGGAAATATTTTCGGGCATTGATGCAAAAGGAAACATGTTCGTGACTTCGTGTATTGCTGTTGAAGGAAACATTTTCTGGCATCGAGGCTAAAGGAACAAGTTCGGGCATTGCTGTTAGAAGAAACAATTCCGGGCATTGATGTTCAAGGAAACATGTTCGGGCATTACTGTGGAAGGAAACTTTTTCGGGCATTGATGTTCAAGAAAACATGTTCGGGTTTTGCTGTTGAAGGAAACATTTTCAAGTATTGCTGTTATAGAACAGTTCAGTTGCATCTTCGTGCATTATTTCAAGCATAAGCAGACATCCATTCTCAAAGGTCTCATTTCAAAATTCAACTATATAAAACCGGGTAAATAGTAAATAGACTAAATACTATGCAGTTGTCTGAATGTGATCTTTCACACCGTGCATTAAAGTATGTCATACAAAATGAGGTAGAGCTAGTTTTATCCCCTTTTAAATTCTATGATAAAATTGTGTTACGAGTTACTAGTATATTTCGTTTCGTACGTGACTTTCATGTTAACATTGTTGTAATTTATTCCAATCATGGAATTTCATGCTACTCTATATCGTATTCCAAATTCAGATGAATTCCATAATATCAAACAAAACCCCTATACGATTAAAAATGAAAATGTTAGGACTCGGGTACATACTTTAAGTGCAAATAGGTCGGCGTTTCCTGTAGTAAGTCTCTGAATGAGAATTATGTCCTGTACCAAACTAATTTTTTAATTCTCATAATCCAAAACTTTTAATTTAAAGTGAATTTATCTATATAATGGAAGGTCTAAATCACCATATCTTTTCAAGCAGCATTTTATAAGAATATTAAAATGATTATTTTTTTTTCAATATTTGAAATATTTGTGGAATTATAGGTAGACTTATTCGCTATTAAAGAAATGAAACATGCATATGCAGGACAAAGAATCATCTTTAATTGTAACGGCTACATAATAATAATAATAATAATAATAATAATAATAATAATAATTATAATAATGATGATATAAATAATGATTTATTTCACATATTCAATAAGAATACGATACAATTATGTATATTTAACATCAAATTACACATAAATATCATTAACTGTAATTTCTTTCTCGGTTAAAGCCTCGCCATTTACAGACATTGTATGCAGAGTTGACTGGTCAAATGTCCATACCCGTCGTAAACAAGGTATGATGTACCGTGGTTCGGTAGGGGAATCTTTATCTTTACCTAGTATAAAAGAATATAACATATGAATAACAATAACAACAACAACAACAACATCGTCGGCTATAGTCGGCTGTTCAAATCACAGGAGCCTAATATTCTATCAATAATTAATCAAAAAAGTACATTTACGGTCATATGCCTATTGTTATTTGTATGACAACATCAATTTCACTAAAACTAAATGGCATATCTCGAGAAATACACATTCTCAGAGACTTGTACTTTACATGCATCTCTGTAATTCAACTGGTAAATAAACGTATGACCTTAATATACAATTAAAGATTTGTCCGTACATTTTTAAAACGTCATTAGTTAAGTCGCCCATTAATTATAATTAAATAATACATTGAATAATAATAGAAATATAAGAGGTAACAATGTTGCGCATGACGGGATTCGAACCTGCAGATGATAAAATATTTACCTGTTATGAAGCTGACAACCAGCCCAATCGTTACTGATATAAGAAAACCAATTAATCCTAGCCACATGTACGAGAGGTCATAAAGGGCTATATGAAGACCATTTTCACTCTGATGATATCTTTAAAAATAAAAAAGAATGGAAAAAATAATGGACGGTTCAAACATGGTAAAATTGAAAAATGTTTAAAGGCTCGGTTTGATGAGCATGTTTATTGGCAACAGTTCCCTATTCAAATTTCCAGAACTTGTATAAAATAATACCAGATAACCTTAAGCATTAACCCAATAAAAAAGACCTGCATTAGGAAATTCGATTCATTTATAATTCGATCCAAATCGCAACATATGAGTATGACAGTTATTATTATTATAATGCCAATATGCTTGACTTTGCATTACTCCATGGTAGAATACGTAAAGTACCCTCAGCTTAGCGTAGATATTTTTTATTTGAAACTCATCCTTTCTTGTAATCGATTTAGCGGTGGTGAAATAATACTTTCCAACATAAAAACAACTGTTTTTCTAATTTAAATGTCCGCTGTAGTCCATAGATATATAAACTGTTAAAATATTAACCTACCGAAATGTTAATTAAATGGAATCATTTGTTTGTTTGTTTGATTGGGTTATACGTCACACTGACACAGTGTAGGCAATATAGCGACGTTCCAGCTTAATTGGTGGACGAAAACCTCAGGTGCCCTTTCAAGCATTATTTCAGGCACAAACGGGCACCTGAGTAGAACCAACGGTGTTCAGTAAGCTAGCTGGATAGCTTTCTCACATGAAAGAATCCAAAGTCCCTGTCGGGATTCGAACCATCAGCAGTGAGGGTCAAGTGGTTTGATGTCAACGACCTTAACCACTAGGCCACGGACGCCCCAAATAAATAGAATGAAACTTATACTTACATATTAGTAGTATCCAATGTTGAGTAACTGTTGTTGTGATGATTTAAGGAATCGAGAGTATAATATTCGGTGGTGGGTGCCAAGTGCAGTTCTGAAACAACTGTGTTGTTCTTAAAACACCCGGAAGTAGTGACTGGCTGTGACAATGGAGCTTTATTGCCGTATAAAAATGATCCTAGAGCAATCCACATATTGATAACAACACCAATAATTCCTCCAGCAAGCGCCCCCTATAATGGAATAATACTATTATCATTTTCAAAAATCTATCCTAAATTAAAATGTCGTCCGCTGTTTAAGGTGCATTTTTCATTATCTCTGATTAACAGACTCAATCAAATCGAAGTTTGTAATTGTCATGTTTTTCTTTTGTCGTTTCCATTCGTTTCGAGGTATCTCTCCATTTTCTAGAACTTAGATGAACTAAGGTGATATCAATTTATCTCAACAGTGTTTAAATCAAATTTAAGTTCACAATTAACATGGAGCATTTACATATTAAAATTTCTAATTTTCCACACTAAAAACACTATTTAAATTTCACCTTTTACATACATTAGTTTCATACATAAAAATGTAAATAAAATTTACAAGTTTTAAACTTTAATAAAGGCTAAACCAGAGAGCAAATATCAACAAAGGAGTACATTCAAAGAACAGAGCCCCCGATAACACGTAGCCCCCAACAACACTCAGCATTACGGAACCACCAAAAAGGAATACAGGAGAGTGCCCATCATAAAATATAAATGATATTAATTTTACTTTTACCTTCTTGTTAGCTTGTGGGAAGACAGAGCCCAGGAAAAATAAGCCGACGACTGGACCACCCGCTGCTCCAAACGCTGTTTGCCCCATCTATCGATGTTCATAATAATTATTACATTACAAGTGTCACATATAAATTGATGATTTATGAATTATGATAAGGAAAACACATGCGAATGGAATTTAAAGCGATATTGATTATTTTGTTATTAATATATAAAATCAATTGTTCCGTATAATAACAATATAGAAAGTAAACTAATATTACTGGGAATCTAGAATTATAAATAGATATATATATATATATATATATATATATATTATACTTGCAAAAATAGGATTAACATATTGAATCTGAAGACATAAGGGTATTTAAAAGAAAATGCTACACTTTGTGTACCACCGGGGGATATAGAGGATGAATTTCATATTTTATATTAGTATGTCCATGCTCTGGCAATTTTTGAAGCATGTACATTTCAAGATAATTCACCGTTTATCCGAATATTTACAAACTCACACAATTGTTCAACGCATTTATCAAACATAATTACTTGATGCATGCATTGAAAAAATATGTATGCATGTTTATGGTTATGATGATGGGTGTTGAGCCCAAGTCAGAAATAAACTACATGTTCCGTTCTAAATATATGAACAGATCACAATTAAATACCTGTGTAACTGGTCCTGTCAGATATTGAGATAAATAAGCCAACACAACTGTCAATATTCCATACACAAACACTTTATAATAAAAATAAAACATATCAATTATAGCCTTGGAAACAATTTTTACATTACTTAGAAGCCATGATAACATTGGCATATAAATGTCATATTTAGTTATGCCTTAAATTCTTAGAATTAATATATGTAAGCCGAAAATCTAAAGTTAATTGCCAATATATGAATGTTAAGTTCTGCTTTAGCTGGTGCTAAGGTCTGTGGCAGGTAGATCACATTTACCGTTGCCTTTCATCGACTGACACAATCTTATCCAGCCCCCAAATTTTTAAATTTGGCTTTTTTATTTTGTATATTTTCGAGAAAAAAACTTGCAAAAACAAAACTGAACCTTAATTAACATACCTAAACATTTTGCAATCAACGTCTTTTTAGCCTGGAAAGCGTCTTTAAGATAGTTACCCAGCACGTCCTGGAGGGTGTTTGTAGCCATAGAGTTTATACCAGACGAAAGAGAACTGAATGGAATGTTAAAATACAATACGAAAAGTTAACATTGCCCTGAAATCCCGAAATATGTCCATGACTATTAAAGTAAATACATGTACATGTATAGAACGAATCTGAGAAGTATTTGTGAGAAACAACACCTTAACAATCAACCAAGGTAAATCTATTTTTAAGCAAGAAGAATGAGTTACAAATATTCAATCTGAAAGTAGTGAACATTCACATTAAAATCCAACAAGTTTTAATCACTAAAAGATCAACACTCACATTATCATTTTCTTTCCTCACTTTCAAGCTTTGCGTTTTGACCGGGTATGCGCATAACAATTTGCTTTACAATATCGAACATTTTTTGCAAAGTATTTCATAGTTCTACAAAATAGAAAGTGGGTTTCCTCTGACCTCTAAGTGTGATCTGTTTTATTTGTGAATACAACGTTTCACAATGGTGAACATTTGTGCTAAATAATACTAAGGTCCTTCCATGATTGTAGAAAAATACTCCGGCAAAAATCTTTACCATCATCTCCGTTGAGCTTGGCCTTACATATATTGCCCTAGATTTTGCTAGACTCTATCAGACTCGTTAAGTCTTATGATTGTGAACATTTGTGATATAGTCCCTTAATTCACAACTATCAAGTTGCCCAAACACACATTTCTGATTGACCTCTAACTGCAACCTTGATCTTGACCTTAGCGTTTGAATATGCATAGACGCCACCCGCCCGCCAGACTGAAGCGATCCCATTAATTGATTGACAATATCTATTTATTGTTTGTAAATATTTCATAAGAAGTAAATGTACTCGTATATTACAATTAATATCTGTAATTGTATGAGTAACATCACAGGCTAGTTATATGACATTCTTTATTTATTTTACGATTTGCATTAAACATACGCCATTATTCATCATTACATTTAGACTCACTCTTCAACTGTCAATGAGAGAGCGTTAAAACACTAGACTAATGTATGATAAGAACATAACATTGTTGTAAGAGATGCATGTTCCGCTTACCTTAAAGCCCCACTGAAAACTGCTGCAAGAAATATGCCGGCAAGACCCGGAACACCACGTAATACATTCATGACGAAATATATCATCAACTACAAATAGATAAAAGCAGAATGTTCCATAATGTGATTTTATAAACCATTCAAAAATAAGTTTATCAATTGTTTGAATGAATAACAAGTTATTTTCATAATTCATGTTATTTTTCTCAACAAATACTTTTATCTAGAAATGTAAGCTATATATACATAAATATACATTTAGTATCATACAATAAAGATCCATCGAGGATAACAAAATCTTAGACATGGAATGTAAATATTGCCGACTTAGTTTGAGTGCGTCTGTTTATGGCTGATAATGACAAGGTTATCATTCTTGGTGCCCTACAGCATCGCCTAACCTGGTATCTAATCAACGTTTAATTATTGGCCTATATATTTGTTATTATTTCTAGATTTATCTTACCTGATTCGGATTTGATAATTGGTCACTCTCTAGTGGACCACATTCTGTTGTAACGAAGTAGGCATAAAGGACTAGACCAGTGAGTATCAGGATGAAGTCAAATATGATACATAGTGGTATATTTAGTAGAGTAGCTCTGTACAAGGTAGAAATGAAAGGAAAAAAAACGTTTAAAGAAAGAACATATTGAAACATCTGGTTCTGAAATTAAAAATAATTAAAGCGTTGAAGAATTTGATAAAGAATAAAAGAATAGGCTTATCAAGGTAACTCTAGCACAAAACTGAACACAAAATATGATAAAACAAGATCAACAGGGAAAGGCGGCGTTCAATGAACGCAATGTTGGTTAAATCTATATTCCATCTAGTTTTGAATCGTTTAGTTGAAAAAACGAGAAAACGTGTAGAGAGTAGGTCTGTACAATACGTATTTTACAAAAAGAAACATATGAAAATTAGAAAAGCAAAAATATGGTTTTGAAATTAAAATTAGTAAAGCGTTGAAGAATTTAATAAAGAATAAAAGAATAGGCTTATTTACTTAGCACAAAAAGTAAATACTTAAATCTTCAATCGACCCTTTTTGATGAACCCGTGATCGTATGATGAGGTTAATGTAACTAGGTAGAAAAAAATAAGGTGAAAGAAAACGAGGTGAAGAGAAATAGAACAAAGATCAACAAGAAATGCGGCGTTCATGGAATGCAATGAATGGAATGGAACAATGAATGGAATGGAACCTTTTCACATGACTATGAATAACTTACAGACTGAGTTAAATATTTCGGCTTATTTACTAAGCACAAAATTAAACACAATGTTGGGTAAATCTATACTCTATCAGCGAGAGTATATAGAGCTAAAACGCATTTATTTCTTCTTTTTTTTGTTTTCTGCAAATAATTCTTGATAGTCGGTATTAATTTGTATTGCAGTTGTAAAAAATGATAAAACGTATTTTTAAAGACTTTTTATTCTATCAGATAGACTGTCATCTAAAAATGTGACGTCATTATTTTTATACATCGCATTTTTTACTGCATTCCATGAACGCCGCCTTTCTTGTTGATCTTTGTCCTATTTCTTTTCACCTCGTTTTTTTCACCTTGTTTTCTTTCACCTCGTTTTTTTCACCTCGTTTTCTTTCACCTCGTTTTTTTCATCTAGTTTTCTTTCACCCTCGTTTTCTTTCACCTTGCTTTTTTCACCTCGTAACAGTAACCTCATCATACGAGATATTGGACATGTCACGGGTTTATCAAAAAGGGCCGATTTTTACTTTTTAATGTGTAAATCTTACAGCATTATACAGTCGACTCCGGTTATAACGAACTCAATGGGACATTAAAATATCGTTCGTTATATCCGAAGTTCGCTAAAAGCGAGGTAGCAACTACTTGTTGACTTGTTTGGACAGAAAAAGTCATACTTTTCACTGGTTACCTGTGTAACCGGTATTTAACTGCAGTGGTTATTTAATGGTTATCTAATTCGGGGCATTTTATTGATCAATATATTATGTACATGGTATATGTATTTATTCATGTAGTTCTTGTCTATAAAGTATTTTCTTTTGCTTTTTGTTTATTATCGTTTGGTTAATATTGCAAACAAAACAATTCGTTATTTGGTAATAATCGGGTATTTACAGCAATCAACTAAGGGTGCGAAATACATTTTTCCGTAACAAGTAGGAAATTATTATATTACTAATTCATATAAATCTGTTTTATTATAATTATTCATGCACAGTTTGTACCCATTCGTTAAAGGTAAATCTAGTATATTTTGATAAGGTTATTTATTACTCTCGACGAATTTCTAATTGCATATCATTTTTTTTTCAAATTGCAGGAGTTGCATTCAGCGGATGCACGCATATGATGAATTAATATGCGTGAACACCTACGATTTAGTTACAGTGGATGGGCGCACGCAGTACGCTACAGTCCTAATATAATGTATGTTTCGTGTGATTGACCATTCGTGTTAACCACATGACTATGAATAACTTGCAGACTGATTAAAACATGAGTGTTAAATATTTCCCATTTTTTGCACAAGAAATAAAACATATTGCAGCTTTTATAATGACGTTTAACATTCCTGGATGCCGGTACGAATAACTCCGACGGTTTGAGGCCGTTTTGCAATGTTTTTTTTCTATAAATGACAATTCATGAAGAATAATTGATCTTTTTAAAACAGGTTAAACGGAGGTCTGAACCAGCTATTTGGATTTTTTTACAACTATATATAGATATAAAGAATACCTACATTTTAGCATGCTTCTTTGTTTCTATAGATGATATTCTTTGTATTGCTGACTGATTACAACAGTTAGGCAGCCAGTTAAACACCCCGCCTATAACACATCCCCAAACAGAATGACGTATCCGAGGGTCGGGATTAATCCTGAAGCAAGCATGATAAAAATATTTCATGGTTTTATAATTGCGTTACTAGTATTTATTCATTACCATTTAAATGCGATAGGAAATGTAGAATAATAGTTTTCATCCATAATTTTGAACGGAATTTTGATATTAAAGTTTTAACCCATTTATTTTAGGGACTCCATCAAGAAGGTTGTTAAATACTCAAACAGATGGTCCTTAGCACTGGGGACATTATTGAACACAGGGTCATGTGAACATTTTCGTACATGTAGCGGATTAACACATACCTGCTTCTTACCAATTAGAAAGCAACAGATTCAATTTTTGCACTTTTATACTAGAATTTTTTTTAAAGTGATTTCTCTTTCTAAATGCATGAAATTTTCTTGTGCTCCTGTAACACAAATATTCACTAGACTATAACCAACTAAATATCTTTAAAAAAAATATACGCCCTGATTAATCAGTAAAATATCGACCCATGTTATGCATTGAACTGAAAATGTTAAATTTGCTCAACAACGAATAGATAAAATGTATACTCATCGAATTTCATCCGACCTCCCTTTAATGATAATTCATAAATCTTTGAGAAGCTTCCGATTTTCATCCCACCCTGATAAATCAGAAACAAAATATTAATAATTATTGAGTATTATAAAATGTTTATATAAACAACAACAATAACAACATTAACAGCAACAACAACAACCAGAGAAACAAAAAAAAATATAAATAAATAGATAACAAAATTTAAACCGACATCATCAACAACAGAAAACATAAATTATTTTACTAGTTTATGCTCCCTAAATTTCCTTGACATTTGCGCGATGTAAATTTTGCTAAATTAGCAAAACCTGTCTAATATACGCACTATTCAGTTAATCTTCTTTGCGGTTTTAGAGAACATTAATCCACCCAATATGTAATTAGTTTAAGTTATTTAACTTATTTTTTGTGTTCTGATACATTTGCAATACAGGTGAACCATGTTTTGCTTTTTGACAAGTAATAAAGTTAAGGAGGTTTAGGACTGTTAATTTTTTATGAAGTTACAATATTTGTCATGGTTTACGGACATAATCCCCTTCGGACAAAATCCCCTTCGCATACCCGTACAAAATCCCCTCCATGGGTGAAAATAATCCCCTTCATGTTTTTGCAAGGCTGGACAAAATCCCCTTACCTACCCGGACAAAATCCCCTTGTTTCATAGGTTTCTAATGTATTATTATGCTCCATAAAAATTGATGAATAATGAACTTTTGTTTTTTGATTTATAATTATGTATCAAGTTAACCTTTATAATTAAATAAGCTTGATAAGACATATTTTTTATTTGTTTAGATCAACTTTCAACCAAATTATCATTAAAAACAATTTAATTAATTTAGCAGTGTTCATTATATTTGTGGTAAATAACAAATATAATTAAAGGGGAATAATAAGACAAAGTGTGTTTTTCATTATTCTTGGAAGTTTTAAAAGTCAAATCATCAATGCCATTACTTTATTTATCTAAAACAATTCTTATAATTTCAAAAACACTATTACAACTTGTCTACAAATTCTGAAAGATGGTGAGGAAGAAATGAATTGTGCAACACTGTCCATCTACACATCCCTTAGCAGTATAGAACTGATGTTGAACCAATATTCCCTAATAAAGTACTAGCAATCACCACACAGCATAATGCAGTATGTCTCTCTCGTACCCACTTTATAAACTGAACATTCATCTGAGGCAGATTCTGTCCTAGGTAGCTGTTTTATTGAGAAGATTTTGTCCACCCATGAGGGGGATTATGTCCAGAAATACAAAAATACATAAAAGGGATTTTGTCCGAAGGGGGTTTTGTTTCACATTCATTTGTCATATGTTGCGGTTCGGATTAGAATATCCGTACCGATATTTCAGATATTTTCTCTTGCATATTTTACCATATACCAAACAATTTTCCATGATAATTACAGTTACTGTGTTTTTACAACAACGTACGAAATTACACAGTAAAATTACGTTATCAAAAGCATGCCGTTTTACAGCACACGACTCGTCTGACACCCGGATGTCAGATTACATTTCCGGCATGGGTAAAACTAACGGAAACGCCTGTCTAATGTATATACAACTTTATCTAAGTTTTGCTGTTTAAGACAAATTATTTCATATTCAATGCTGCTACTTTCTTAAAGTGATAATCATAAATCATGCTCTAAAATCATTATTAAAAAGTTATTAAACATAGGTTTGCCTTTTACTTACCTAAAGTATCAAATTAGAATTTAAACCATTGCTTACCAAGACCAGGATGACTGTGAGGCCACCATAAAGCATTATGAACTGAAATGTGTCCGTCCATATAACTGTCCTCATTCCACCCTAAAGTTATATATGGTTGAGTTATCTCTTAACATACCGGGTAAAAACTTTCGTCTGCTAAACAATATCGTCTGGTAGTTTATTTAATTTATTCATATTTTGTTCGAAATCAAGAAAATATATAAAGATAGACGATAAGACGCTGAGTTAGCAAAGACTATTAAGACAAAATAAAAGACCAATACAGAAAAAAGGGGGCAAAGTGTAAGATATATAAAAATTATTTAAGGTATTTATTATAGATCTATTAATTTCTTTATTTACTTCAGTCTCATCTATGTTATACAACAAAACATACAAATAATATAAAAGTTACATTGTCCTTCATATGATGAGTTATGAGAAACAATATATAATATCTTACCTGACAATTTTTTTTTACTGAAAAACTATTTACATATTGCTAAACATTAAAATGACATTAACATAAATAATGCTGAAACATGCGCATTATAATATTGTTTATAAAGTATCTCAATATCAAAAGGTAAAATAAGGCCATGAGATCTACTTTGAAAATCTAGAAAATAAACTCCTGTAACTCGGGTATTGTTCAGTAAAGTGAAGATTTTAACTTTCCACAAGTCAAATTCTTGCGCTCTGAAGGATTTGGCGTCTACAATTTTTGAAAACGTCTTTTAGTATTTTCATAAAGAGCTGCCTTAAATTCTGATAATCATCTGACTTACAATGGCAGTGTAGAAAGTCCCTAAAACGCCAATTAATACAATTGATAACCAGATAGGGATTCCTGCAACTGAAATTTAAAAAGTAGTTATTAATTCTTCGTTTTATATTTAACCCGCAAATGTCTTTCTCATACCTATCAGTATAGTCTTAGCCACATTATTTGTCTCAGAATATATGAGCCGCGTCACGACAAAACCAACATAATGGGTTTTCGATCAATGCTAACTATATTACTAAGATAAAGAGCAATTTCAAGCAAATCTAACCATGTTTAAATACTCAAATAAATAAAATACCTGCTTCCAGTGCCAGGGCTGGTGAATACAATACAATACTGACATAAAGTAGCTGAAATAAAATAAATTACTCTTTTATTATAAATACATTGCATTGTATTCAGTTTAATTGTAATACCCACCCCCACCCCCCAAAAAAAAAACAAAAAAGGGTGGGGGGAGAGAAGATGAAAAAGACCCCCCACAAAAACCAAAAAAAAACAAGAACAACAAAAAAAAACAACAACAACAACAAAAGAAACTTCAAGAACAACAGCAACAAACATTACAAAAACATATATGATGCACCACTTTTTGTAACAAACTACCATACAGTTACTTGAAAATGAATATTGAAATATAACAGGATCAAGTCTGATACCTATATTAATTTAAGACAGTATTCCGAAACCATGCAACTCTGGCATCTGTATATTATACTAAGTACACTTATAGGTGCATTGCAAAATTTCATTTTCTTTTGCTTAATATTTGCTTAAGTCTGAAGAAAAAAGTGTCAAATATCAAAGTGATACTAAATTTTGAAACATATATATGCCTTAAAGTTTTTACTAAGATTTTTAGACGGTTACATGAGAAAAAAGTCTTCAAGAGCGCTTAGAAATTGTGACCAGTCAGTCGTATCGGAGTTTATAAACAGATAAAATTAGTTTACGACGAGTTAACAACTTATAACTAATATTGATGTAGACCTAGAATATCGAAAAAAGTCAGACCGTCATACCGTTTGTAACATTCCCATGGTCATGCCTAGCAGCTGGACCCATCTTGACCGGAAACGCCGCAGGAGATACTGTTAGATTTGAAAATATATAAAAAAAAAACAAAAAACAAAAACAACCCCCCCCCCCCAAAAAAAAAACAACAAAAAAAAACAACAAAAAACAAAAAAAACAATCACATGAAACTGTTAGACCATGTTCGTCATTTTAAATGTTTGATAAAATAAACGTATACATAGCATTATACTATTGGCCAATTTTAATTAAAACTTTTAACGGTTTAATTGGTCCCTTTTGTAGGAATTGAGTTATAAAATCAATGTCAAATGCTTGTTGCGTATTCAACCAGGTAAATATAAAAACAAATGTAGTTAATATTGTTCACGTTTTCAACGTTTCCATGATGAAAACATTTATAAACAAAGTAAAATCAGTTACCATGGTTACATTACCTCATAAGCGCTGGTCAATCTTAACGGATGTATCAACGGTACAATGACAAATGCCTGCACGATATTCGCCAATGAAATTCCAAATGTTATATAGAACACCATAATGTTATATAAATATACTTCACTTGGTAATCCAATTATAGATGATGCAGACTGGAAGGTAACTGCCAAAGACAGAGCAACAGGAACAAGATGTATTTGTCTGTTACCAAGAATATATTCCTCTGTAGTCCTTTGTTTTTTGAAAAACCCATAATAAATACCTATTGCAGAAGATATTGCTAAGAAAAATAGCATAACAACATAGTCCGCAACGTGAAATTCCAACCGCTTCATTCTTTCTCTATTACCAAATTGACAGATAGATATCAACCGAAAACTATCACATATATTATGCGGCGCGGGGCGCTGTTTGGATATTAGGTAAGATACACTTTGGACAGTTTAATTGAGGTTTATATTTAATTAAATCAGTGTTTATATTTTATCAAAGTTGGTTGGAATAATCATTCATTTATCATCTTAAATGAAGAATATTGATGCTTGAAACTGTAAAAGTTTAATGCTGCAGCATTTTATACATTGTAATCGAAAAGTCCCATGTGTAGCCTCTTAAATCTTATTTATTTTTCGTCACAAACTTTAGGACATTCACGCCATCATAAAAAAGACTGGTTTGTATTTCGCTTAAACCTTCAATAAAAATATCAAACATCCATATAAGCAATAACTGATTGATTGAAATTATTAGAGCATATCATTTAATTTCACTATGTTAACGTAAAACGTAAAATACACGTTATTTAGTCACATATTATGTCGTGAATTGATTCTGACTAATTCTAAATAAATGTAATACCCAAAATTTAATTCCAAATCTACTATTTATGTTACCCGTCTGATATTCTTAATGATAGCGATGATAAAATGTTAAATAGTACTCTCAGACGACGAACATTGATCAGTGACTATCAGATGATAATCTTTGATAAAGTTTAATGTGTATATACTACACAAAAGTATATAAGGTTCATAAGTTTAAACGTTTAAATATTTGCTGTAATTCTGAAAACATGTTCTTAGGTAATAAAGTGAGGCTTTTTGGAAAACATAAGTAGGGTGACTGAATTTCGTTTAGTCTCGCGTGTGGTGTCCGCTTGTTTGAATTTCTGCTCGGTATCGCCTTCTCTTAATGCTAATAATCCTTTAAATGCTAAGTTGTGGCATTGGCGGACATACACATCTAAGATCTCATAGATGTATTGTGCAGTCGTCAATGTGCCGTTTTGAACGATATAAAGTTCATTTTTTCCTGCATGCTAATAATAAAAAGATCTTAACATCGAGGGATGACCCTCTCACGACCAACTCCATGCCTATGCTTGACATTTCCGGGAGTTCGAAACCGTTGCACATCATGCAACATGCTCTGGGACACCCCAAGGTGACCTATTACATGCTATTGGGAGCGCCAAGCCTCAAGCATCCATATGACCTTATTCATCTTCTCGGCGCCAAGACGCCGTCTTTATTCGTAAATAAGCCATACCCTATGCTAGCTTTGAAATAAATTTAACGGATGTGTACATGAAGATACATGCCGGTAGCGCACGCTTTGCCTTCTGGGTGCCCTACTTGGGTGGGTCGGGGGGCCGCGTCCTGCGAACGATGCCTTTGCCTTGTTTTTATTTTTGCTTATCGATATCATTTTTCCTGTGGATATCAAGCCATGAACAGGTTTTAAATTAATATCTCCTGGTCAGGTCATTATTTCATTAAAATAATCTACATGTATTAATAAAGCTACTCCTATCAAATTTTGGGTAGTATACAAGTATACATGCATTCATATAAAACGGGTACGTACTATAAGCTAAGTACTAAACCATGGAATGTTTATGATGTATCATACCTATGTATCTGAGCTTTGCCAATTTTATAACATAAACTAGGTCAAATGAAAATCATAATCATTGAGGTTTTGATTCATGTTTTGTAAGTTTAACGCTTATATCTTAATTCATTAGTGGCACATGAACTACCCACGATTTTTGTATGAAGGTATTAAATACATAAAAAGTGTTTGTTGAATTGAAAGAATCGAATATGTATTGTAAAAACAGTAACGTTCATTTGAATATGGATGCGAGGTATGGGGTTTCATTGAAGCAAAAAAGATAGAAAATATACATTTGAAATTTTGCTAAAATTTATTAGCAGTAAGGCCACAAACTCAAAAAACTTCGTTTATGGAGAATTAGGCAGAGAACAATTAATACAGCTTAGAATGATACGAATCTTAAAATTTTGGTTTAAAATATTGAAATCGGAACAACATTTGTACATTAAAAAGGTTTACAATATGATGATCTTTAATATAGAACAAAAACCAAATTAAAAATTTTGGGCTAATTCAATTTAACAATTACTACAGAGACTAGGGTTTTATCATGTTTGGGTTAATCACGGAGTGGTAAATGAAATTTCATTTTTGAACTCTGTAAAACAGATACTTAAAGATAACTACATGCAAAACTGGACAGAATCTCTAGGCAATTCATCATGATCTTCCCTTTACATTCTTTTTTCAAACTTTAATTGTAAATTGTATCTTGAACAAATTAACATTCAGAAATTAAGAATAGCATTAACAAGATTTAGAGTTTCAGCACATAGGTTATTAATCGAAACAGGGAGATGGCATAAACCAAACAAAATTCATAGAAATGAAAGAAAATGTATAATATGTAACAAACTCGAGGATGAATACCATTTTTTATTAGATTGTACTTTATATTGTGAAATAAGAACTAAGTCTTTACCAAAGTACTACTGGAAAAGACCAAACATACCTAAATTTATCGAATTTATGTCAAACGAATCGACTTCTATGATCAGAAAACTGTCTACTTTTATTTATAAAGCTTTTGAAATCCGTACACCGATTTACTTTTCTTAAAAATATTTTCATTCACACTTTTCTCCTACAACGTCATTTTTACAAGGATGTATTTATAATCATTCAATACTTAAAAATATACATTTTATATGTAAGTGTAATGCACGTGTGTATTTGATCATAAGTTCAGGTTAAATTATGCAATATTTAGTTTCTTCTAGTAAAACATACATATTTATATGTGATTGTAATGTATTTAATAACAAGTTCAGGTTGTATTGTGAATTATTAAGTTTCTTCCGGTTAAACCATAATGCATTTATTTATTTATTTCTTAGTGTTTAAAGGCTATATGCATGCAACATAATTAATTCTATTAAGGAATTGTTACATAAAATGTGTACCTTAAACTAAAATATAACATGACTTTTAGAGACTGTTATATGTCATTGTTATATGTCACCATTGACCTATATTCATTATAAAATGATTGATTACATACCATGACACTAATGGGTTTGAACTTTTGTGAACAAAGATATGTATATATTAATCGTGACTGAAATTTATTTAGGGTTCAGAGGCGGACAGGAAGGTTGGGGGCATAATCTAGAGTCGAAATAATTTATCATACGACAATGACCTATGTAAGGCGTGGTCGAGATGGACGGAAATCACTATTACGTGCTCCCTTTTCCGATTTCATCGATGAGAATAATTAAGTATATGATACACTTCCTTATTTTCAAAAAGAAACATATTTATTTCACATGTAAATGTTTTCATAAGGTTAGATAAAGTATGTTCTAATTAATTATCATAATTTTAATTAAGAAAGGATAAACATATCAGGAATTTTATATTAATCAATTCATAGAAGGTTTTTAACTGATTGTTGTTTTGTGCGAATGACCTATAAATGATATAAAGAAAACAGGTCTTGTTTTATCTTTGGCATTTTAATTATGGGGGGGGGGGGGGGGAGGGTCTTATAAATGTTTTGTCACTTATCGACCTCCTTAGGCTTAACTAAATGATGTTTATAATAGCGTGCTTTTGTTAACCGCAGAATTTGGAGCCCGCAGAAGAAACCATTTATACGGTAACCAAGATTGAAAAACGAAATTCCTTATGAACGACAAAAAAAGAAAAGAAAAAAAAAAGAAAACCGGAAAATTGAAAGTGTTGCGAAGCAGCTGTTCAATTGACGTGACTGTCTGGTTATAAAATCATTGGATGGATTCAGCATGACATAGTTTGAAAATGTTTAACATTAAAAAACGAACACGCTAATTATGTGCAAACACAACAATGCCTTCACTCTCAAGGATGCCTTGTTTCGTCTTTTCAAGATTCTAAAATGTTCGTTCCAATGTTCCGAGTGGTTATGGTTCGATGATGAAACATGAAGCCTAAGCTCTAGAATAGTCAATAAAATGCAGTGGTTTCTAAGCTAGACCAGTCTTTTTTCAAAGGAATGTAGCTTAAATTATATATGTCATACATTATTTATTATTTCTGTTGGAACTGCTATTCAAATTCTAGCTCCCAGTTGTGGCGCAGTTACTGTTTTTTTATTATAAGAAATGTGTCTCAACGTAGTAAAACAAGAACAAGTAAAAATACAATAAGAAGTTCTGAACACATTTGATCTTTATTTTTAATTTTTAAAATCTACAGTGTTTACAAATAAGTTACAATGCAATAATAATTGCAAGACAATTTGCAGTTTAAAAATATAATTTCATGCATAGAATTTTGTCTGTCTAATACAATCAACAAAGTGCAATATATAACTATTCAAGAATGTAAGAATGTGCAATGTCATCAAACACTGTAATGATCTGAAATTTTGTACATAAGTTATTAGTATAGATCTACGTCAAATAAAGTAATAATCTCAAAAAATAATCTCAAAAAACCTCAGTGGAGTCCCTTTCAACGCCTATTTAATTTATAAAACATTGATATAAAGTTGCCCTTTTTCAAAGAATCTAATTTTCAACTTCAATCTCTTGGTTTGTGAGTGCAATGCCATTTTCTGTTTTTGAGATCCTATGTTGATATGATTCGTCAAATGTCCAAAAACGGCGCAGGCAAGGAATAATGTACCGAGGATCAGTAGGGTTTGCTTTGTCTTTACCTACAATAAAGTAATATACAATCTCAATCTATATGTAGTCTTATTCACATGATCAACATTCTCTTCCTGCACAATACGAGAATAAAGATCAACATGGCAAAGCAATGTTCCATAAAATGCAACTATATAGGACTAGCAAAGCCTATATGATCCTTCTGAATGGAGTACCAAAATGAATATTGTTCAGCAAACTTGGGATGCACTTCGCGACGAAAAGGAATAACAACATAAATAGAGCTCTCGTGGTCGAAATAATGGTATAAAGAACGACTGTCAAAAGAAACATAAGAAAATAATAGTTATATGGTTACCCACATGGTCTTCACTTACGCTTATTTTAAACGAAACACCTTAGAGGGTTTATTGAGACATTTATCAAAAACATAATAATTTTAGCTTGACTAATTCGCCCTAAACAGCCCAATTATCTGTTCGTTTAGGCCCATGATTTCAGTATCTGTCATGTTTTATAGAGTTAAATCAATTATGACAACATGCGCACAGACCAAAAGAAATAAGAAGATAGATGTTTCACAAGGCTTAAATTATCACAAAGCGTCCTATCACTTAAAAAACAAAAACAGACAGATAAACTGACAGAGAAACTGACGGACATTAAGCCAGACAGTCAGGTAGACGAACAAACGGTTAACGGACAAAATTACACGGACAGTGATTTATTTCAAGACGAACGGATTGTATTTTTACTTTTGTCTTGAAACTCATTTTTTGTCGCAATGTGTTTGAATCTTTCACCATAAAAATGTCATGTATTTTACCTTTTATCAGTTAACACACAATCTCTTTCCGACCAAAGGCAAAAGTTACTCAATAAAACTAAACAAACAAACAATGAAGATCCTCGAGTAGCTTTATACGACAATAAATACAAAAACCCGACCATATGGTGCTCAACTCGAAATGTTTCC